ATTGTGGTTGCGGTGAATGCTCTTGATCTGTAGCACTTTAAAAATGGGTACTGTACTATTTCTGATTCCCATAAACACCATCCCCTTCCTCATCAGCTAAAATTAGCAACTTTCAAACTTATATTCTTTGAACTTTCACACCTCCAATCCAAGACACTGTGTATGCTAGCACAAATATAGACATGCAAATGAAATAAGTTGAGAAACAGTTCTTACATTCACTACTTTTACATTATATTTTTTTCTATTTTCTTCTGATTCACACTCTAAAATGGGTTTGACCTGCAGTTTGGCAGAAAAACCTATGAAGAGCCTAAAGACCAGTGTCTTCAGGGGATTGCCCTGCCACAGAGACAGGGGGGAAGGGGGGATGGGGGTGGGAGGGATATTATCCATGGTGGTGGAAGATGGGCACTGGTGGAGGGATGGGTATCTGATCATTGTATGATTGAAACCAAAGTACAAAAAATTGTAAATCTACAACTTTAAAAAAAATAAAATAAAAAAATAAAAAAAAAAATTAAAAAAAAAAAAAAGACCAGTGTCTTGATAGTCCCAGCTGAAGACTGGAAATCTTTGGGAGTGGAGCCCCCTAGTTACCATTTGCACACATTTGCACAGAGAACCGGTACAAGAAAGAGCATAGATTAGACATCATAGTTTTGCTAAAATTTGATGATGCTATGAATATCAGCTGAAAGGGAGAGAAAAAAGGGGAGAGGTCTAGGAAAAAAATTCCAAAGGGAAATCAAAGGCAGTACTAGCCTTTCGGAGGAAAAGAAGTCACACTCCTTATATCACATCATTGCAAGGAGTTGTTTGGACCGGAGCGAATAATTAAGTACTGTGATTATGCTTGTGATTATCCTTATTGCATCAAATTAATAATTATGTGGTCTTTGTGATGCCTTCTTGAACAAAAATGCCTTCCTGAGTCTATACAATGTCTTATTTGTATATTGAGTTATTTGTAATGATGAGTTTGGGCTCAAGCACTCCCCACATTTTGTTAATTTGATTTTTTCTTGGAAATTCAGGCAATACAAACTTGTTGTGCTTTTTAAATTTTTGGTTTTGGATACATCCCCTGCAATGCTCTGCACTCAGGAATGACGTCTGGCAGTTCTCAGGAGAACATAAGGGATGCTGTGGGTCAAACACAGGTGGGCCACAGCAAGGCAAGCGCCCTACCTGCTGTGCTATGGTCCCTGGCCTGCTGTGTTTCAAGAGTACACAGGCAAGCTACTGAGATTGAGAATGCTACTGGGAAACATTTAGTGTGAGTCAACTTGAGATTTTGGGTATTGGGTAGAGCAGCTGGGATGATCTATCTTCTCTTGGGAGAGATCTTTGAGAATGTAGCCCAACTTCTTCATATTCCAGATGAATCTGAGGCCACAAAATGAATTAGTCCACAAAATGAATCGGCAGCAGCATTCACAACAGCCAAAATCTGGAAACAACCCAAATGTCCTAGAAAAGGTGAGTCAAGAAACTTATGGTACATCTACACAATGCAATACTACTCTGCTATATGAAAAGATGAAGTCATGTGATTTGCTGATACATGAATAGACCTGGAGAGTGTCATACTGAATGAAAATGAGTCCAAGGGAGAGGGACAGACACAATCTTGTCTCTGTAGGGGTAGGGGGAACAGGTCAGGATGGGACCACTATAATGACAGACGGAAGTGGTTGCTCCGGATGAGGACTGGGTGTTAAAAGGAGATAAAGTGCTATGCATGATACCGTATCAGTAACAGGATTGTAAATCTGTCACTGTCACTGTCCTCCCGTTTTTCATCAATTTGCTCGAGCGGTCCCAGTAACGTCTCCATTGGAGGCTTTATTCTTACTGTGTTTGGCATATCGAATACGTCACGGGGAGCTTGCCAGGCTCTGCCGTGCGGGCGAGATGCTCTTGGTAGCTTGCTGGGCTCTCCGAGAGGGGCGGAGGAATCGAACTCGGGTCGGCCATGTTGGCTGCGTGCAAGGCAAACGCCCTACCGCTGTGCTATTGCTCCAGGGCTGTAAATTACCATGCCTAAAAGAAAAAAGGTAAAGGTAAAGGTAAAGGCCCTCCCGTTGATGGTCGATTTGCTCGAGCGGGCCCAGTAACGTCTCCATTGGAGACTTTGTTGTTACTGTGTCTGGCATATCCAATACTCTCGGTAGCTTGCCGGGCTCCCCGAGAGGGGCGGAGGAATCGAACTCGGGTCGGCCATGTTGGCCGCTTGTAAGGCGAACGCCCTACCCGCTGTGCTATCGCTCCAGCCCAAAAGAAAAAAATATAATAATAATAAAGTGCCTACCATAAAGGCGGGAAACTGTGGACATTGGTGGAGGGAAGTGGACTCTGGTGAAGGGATTGGTATTGGAACATTGTACGTCTAAAACCCAATTATGAATAACTTGGAAACTCATGGTGATTCAGTTTTAAAAAATGTTTAATAAACTTTTACAAAATGAACAGGCAGACTCAGATGTGGGTTGCAGCGTTGGTCAGGGCTTTTTCCTCTCGCTGTGTCACACGGGCCTTCATCTCTGGGTGCTGTGACTGGTACTGCACTGTGGACACACTGTACTGTGCAATTATAATCCACTATCACCAATATATCTTTTTAAAAGAGTTGTTTAAGGTCCTGTCTAGTGCAATTGACAATCTCACACTTCAGCCTTCCATGCAAATGATTTCCACCAAAGAAAGATGCCTGAAAGGAAAGCTAGGTGGATTTTTTTTCTCCTTAAGAATGCCTTCATAGGGCATGCAGCCAACCTGGGGAGATCCTGGCACTGTGTATGGTCCCTCAGGAGCCACCAGGAGTAATCTCTGAGCACAGGGCCAGGAGTAAGTCCTGAGAACCATCATGTGTGGCCCAATGACAAAGATTGCCTTCCCAAATACAGGAAAAAGTTATGTATCTTTCATATTCTCATACTATTGAACTTGATGACATAATTGGGAAAACCTCTCTGATAGCCATTGAAATATTTTCAGTAACATACAATCATTAAATAAAAAGTCCCTTCTATGTTCCACTGAAGACATATTTCAAAGTGCCATAATGGGGACTAGAGAGAGAGACAGTAGTGGGTAAGTGGCTTGCCTTGCAATGGCCAACCCGGGTTCAATCCCTTAGCATTGCTGAGGGAATTTATCTATTTCAATAGAAAATGATAAACTAATCAAACTTTCCAAAAGGATAAAAGTGGCAATTTTGTTGCATTTTTAGTGAGGGCAACAATGTCCACTGCAACAGTGGATTTCAACCGTTCCACACCCAAGCTGGCACCTGTCTGTGCACTGGTTTGAACTAGCCGTGAATAACCATTGAGTCAAGACCAGTGGGGCTGGAGTGATAGCACAGTGGGTAGGGTGTTTGGCTTATACGTGGCCAACCTTGGTTCAATTCCCAGCATCCCATATGGTCCCCCAAGCACCTCCAGGAGTAACCCGAGTGCAGAGCCAGGAATAACCCCTGAGCACTGCCAGGTGTGACCCAAAAAGAAAAAAAAAAAGCCAGAGCTTTGCAAATTCTTCACACCTTGAATCTGCTATGAATAGACTGAAACCCATAACACTTATGTAGAACCCATGAAATTTTTGTTTAGGTTTTGGGACCACACCTGATGGTACTCAGGGATCACTCCTGGCAGTGTTTAGTGCTGGGAATCGAACTGGGGTCAGCCACATGCAAGATAAATGCCTTACCCCTGTGCTGTTGGTCTGGACTTAGCTATGTAGTCATGACTATGGAACTTTTTTCTCTGGGGGCTGTTTCTCTAATAAATGACAATTTGCTTAGATAGTTTTCATAGCCATACCAAGAAATTCTTTTTAAAAATTTGTATAAAGTTTTTCACAATAATTTATTACATTTAATATTCCAACACCAATCCCACAACCATTATACCTTCCATGTTTCAAATGTTTCCACACAGATCCCCAAACCCTGCCCACAAAGCAGAAATGAAAAAGTTTATTTTGTGTTGCTTGTTATGAGTAATCCACTAATGATCCAAAAAAGTTTCTTTAGAGGAAAGTGTGTGAAGATTGTTGTATCTCAACCTGGAGCCATTAAGCCCTTCTGTAAGACATCACTAACATGTTGTTAAAGGTTGAGCCTTGTGTGCCCATATATATATATATATTTTTCTCCCCAAGAACAGATGAGTTGAGTCTTAGGCAGTCAAGACATGGTAAGGTCACCCTTCATCATGCTACAGCACCCCCCCTCCCCCGCCCCACATACAGCACACCAGAGTCAAACTCAGAACACACTGAGCGGCAGCATCTGACAACAGAAAGTGCAGAGTTCTGCTTTCCGAGCAGGCCCCAAGCTGTCAAGTGGAGCAATAACCAGCCTCTTTTCCTGCTATAAAACGGAGAAGTTCTCAACCCTTCTAATGGAGAGCTGGTCTGGCCAGTACAAAAATGTTTTTTCTGGTAGTAACCAGGAAGGAAAATAAAACGTCACCTACTTTCTGCAATGTTTATACATTGCTGGTTTATACCATGTCCTTCAATGAGTCAGAAAGTTTGGGGGTAACCTAAGTTCTACTGATTTGAAAAATGTCAGAACACACAGGTAGTTTCTAAAAAAAAAACTCGGAAGCACATAACTAAACTTTTTCGGGGCTGGAGAGAGGGTGCAGGGTAAGGCCATGCCTCGCATATGGCTCAGGTAACCCCAGGCCCTTGCCATGAACCTAGGAGTTGCTGCTAAGACCCCAGACCTTCCCCACAGCCCCACAATCAAAGTTACAAACTTTGCACAGATGCAGAGGCATGGACATTTATATGTCAAGGTCTGAGTTCCAAGTTTGCTTTGTTTTGAATTACATGCCCAAAGGCATAAAACCCTACAAAGAGCAGCAAAAATGTCATCTTTTTCTATTTTCAGACTGAAATATGGAGCTCATAAAAGCGAGGCTGTCATAAATTTCACACTCAGGGCTACTCTGACTTATAACCAGGAAAAAACACACACGCCCAGATTTAACAGTGATAAACAGTTTTTATTCAGGCAATGAAATATGGAAAAAAATATATTAGTAATCATTATAATAATTTCATTTGTGTGAGTATAACTTTTACAAATATTTACCTGACATATAAAAGGGAAATTACTGTGCATATAAAATTTATGTAGATGACTTCTCCACACACCACAATCCTGATAGCAGTAGTCAATGCAGCGACACTCCTCCGGACAAGAGGCTCCTCACACACTTCATGGCACCCGTGGGAACACAGTGGCGGGTGTGCTAGCAACAGTTACTGGTTGGCACATTAGTACAAATGGTATCTATTGGCAAACACTTCTGAAAAGTTCACGGCTACGTGTGAGATTTCAAAGAAATGCCTAGATCCTAACCCACTGGACGAGGAGGCCCCAGGTTGAAGCTGGGGTGTGGCACAACCTCCAGGGCACTGTCCCTGTACTGGGGCATGGTTTCAGAGTTTGAATTTTTGTGTGTCCACTGGAAAAATTGATTCCTAAATAGAGAATATCGGTTAGCAACATGCCCAGGAAACACTGTTTGGAATCTAGTTCAGGTACCACTGGAAGGCAGAAGGGAGTAAGTGGGACCTTGACGTATCAATGTGAAGAATTGGTACAGGGACGATTATTGAAGCCACACCTCAGCTCCATGCCCGGTCTCTCCCCTCCAAAGGAGTCTAAGCATTTCTCAGACTGCCACAGGCCAGCATCGCACACAACACCTCTGTGTTAGAACTATAGCCAGAATATATATATTTATATTTGTAATAGCCGTAACCATATTATAGTTAATAGTCATTCCTTAGGAATCTTGTTTGTCCAAATCTAACTGCATGCTAAGAGGCACAGAAATGGGATTGCATTTGGACAAAAATACTACGAAAGTGCAATCTTTAGTCTCCAGAATGCTTAGCTCTGGGTACTAGGGAGTATTCTTTGCCGAAAAAGCTGCAGTTTATTATCTTCCAGCCATAGAGATATGTCTATTATATCTATTATTTTATTTTTACTATATGGGAGACTCAAGGTTTGGTGGTATATTGTTTTGTTTTGCTTAAGAAAAAAGTAAAACAAAACAAACAACATTGGAACCTGGAGGCCAAACATTTTTTGGGCAGAAATCTCAAAATATTTATTAAAATTGGCGAAGATGATGACATCTTAGACCTTTGGCTTGACATTCTGGGATTCCCAGACTCTATTCTGTAATAAGAAAACAATAATCTGCTATCTCTTAATTTCTTCAGTATATATACATCTGTAATTTAAAATCCCTTTTGCATGTCTGAGGCCCTAGATTGGATTCCTGGCCCCAAGAGGAAAAAAAAAAATTTAAAGAAAAAAATGAAAACAAGAAACCCTTTGCCTGAACCATTTAACCTTTCAATACCCAGTTTCTTCCCGAGATGAAGAAACCGCTTCAAGTCTGTGTGCAGGTTCAGAGGGTCATAACATGACAAAGATGCAACATTCGTGGGTAAGTCGGTCGTAAGGCGGGTAATTGCAAGGGAAACTGAGAGAAAACAAAAAGTGAACTTTTACTCTATTGAGAAAAGATGCACTGAATTATGTCCAATAGTGTATGTATGATTCATCAAAGCCTGTTTTTCAAAACTCTAACTTCGAGTTTGAGAGCTACCACTAAGCCCTATGTAGTATTTGTTTAGGAGGAGGGCTTTCCTCGGGCTGGTTTTGTCAAGTTGAGAACATCTGGGGCATTTGTAACCAGCAGGTACTAAATGGAGGCTGCTAACCACTGAAGTACCCAATTGAGTTACACCAAAATGGGGCAGGTAGAAAAGGAATTAGACTGGAAAGGAAATTCAGCTGGAGTTATCCTCCAAAATGAAATGTACATCTTCCCTTAGCCGCTATCAATTCGAAAGGCTGCCAAACCCCGTTCTCACCATCATGTGCTTCACTGCCTAATTTGGGCTGGGTCTGAGGAGCTGGAAGCACAGAGTGGCGGCTTCTCGTTACTTCCAGTACAATTTCACAGAACCAAGGATTGGGCAGCTCACTGACTTCCAGGAGATTCTCCAAATAAAGTCACTGCTGGGAGCTCTGACTAGAAGTGACGGGCCAACGGGGTGATAAACTGGTCTGTCTGACATTAAGCCCTCCAATTAAACTGCCAGCCTACATCCTGGCAGTCAGATCCTGAAGTGCCTCTGGATCCAGACTCAGCAAGGTCACCTCACACTCCTCAAGCTGCTTACCCAGAAGTTTGCTTCCACTGCCCCTTTCAGCCCGGTGACAAGACTTATTATTTATTTATTCTGGCTGCACTTGGCAGTGCTCAGGCTGACTCTTGGCTCTGGACTCAGGGATCCCTCCCAGCAGTGCTTAGACGACTAAAAGCAGCGCTGGGGATCAAACTAGGGTCAGTTATGTGCAAGGCTTGGGCCTTATCCCTTGTACTAGGTCTCCAACCCCCAGGCTTATTATTTTGTTACCAATAGTAATTTTGGTCTTTATGTTTTGGTGCAAAATTGGAAGCAGAATTCTTTTTTTGGGGGGGGCGGGGGGTTGGGGGCCACACTTGGTAGTACTCAGGAACTATTCCTCACCCTGATCTAAGGATGAACCCAGGCAGTGCCTGTGGGACCATATGCTGGCATTGGTGCCAGGGATGGAACCGGGGCTGGCCTTATGCCAGGCAAGTACCTCACCTCCCCACTAGGCAGAGTTCTAAAACAGCTTTTCAAATGATGTTTTTGATTTGGGGGTCACACCCGGCAGTGCTCAGGCTTACTCCTGGCGGTACTCGGGAGACCATATGGGATGCCAGGAATCAAACTCAGGTTGGCTGAGTGCAAGGCAAGTGCCTTAGCTGAATATTATCTCTCTGGCCCCGTTTTTAAAGAAAAGTAAACATATTCTACTCTGCCCAGTATGTTTTTTGCTGTTTTTTTTTTTTTAATTTGTGGGGAGGGAGGGAGCACCCTTTGTGGTGCTCAGGGGCTACTCCCGGCATGTGGCTTATAGCATCGGGTGGTGCGGGAGATCAGAGCTGGGGCTGCCACACGCAGTGATACGCCTCTGAAGACTCCCTGGTCCCTCAGATTTGCTTGATTTGCTGGTGCTATTAGCTACATTTGTTTTCCCACTTTGGTTTCTGGACCACCCCAGGGTCCGTATGTATGCAGTGCCAGGGCTGGAATCAGGCTTGGCCACATAAAAGGCCAGAGCCTTGCCTGCTCTCTCTCTCTCTCTCTGGCCCCATTTTCATTCTTTTTAAAAATTTGTTTCGGTTTGGGGACTATGCCTGGGGGTGCCTGGGATTTATGTCCCACTCTGCAAGGGTTGCTCTTGGCAATGTCCAGGGGCTATGGGATGTCAGGGTCAAACCCAGGCCACCTGCACGCACAGCATGTGCCCTCTGAGGCAGCTCCCTGGCCCTTGCTGGAGAATATCCGTCTATGAAGTCAGCATGAAGAGCATGCCCTTGGGATGGTCAGGCTGGCAAGGACCCTTCTGTGATCTTCATACAGCAGCTACTTCACTAGGGTCTAAAAGGTCTGCTCTACCTTCAGCCTGTGTGCTAGGAAAGGACTGCTGTCACCTCTATTTCAACATATAGCTAATTTTTTTTTTAAATACGCAGGAAGGTTTTAAAAAGAAGTACAGATTTAGAATGGAGCTCACTATAAGTTTCTCATGCTCAACACAGAATAAATGAAGTAAATATGGCTATGCAACCAAACACAGCAGCGCGAAGGTTCAGCAGCGTGTCTATCTGCAAACTCAATTTTCTTAGTAGGAGAGGGCTGAAGGAAGGAATCTGCCACGGCCCTAGGCCCCCTTTTCTCTCAATGCCTCACAGCTCTCACTTTAGTACAGCAACTCTCTCAAAGCCCAAATGATTGTCCAGTCACTCCTCCAATTATAGATCGTTTTTACCCTTCTCTTTTTGTACAAAATGTTAAGACAAAAGGCTTTTATAAAATAGAGCCTAAGCACCAATTATGAGAAATACATACTGGTAAAATGCAATTTCTGGCTTTAAGAGACATTATTGATCTCCCTAGGCTAAAGATTGCACCCACGTGAATAGTACACTGCTAAAAAAAATTCATTTTTAAAGATCTATAAGGTTCTCTACTAGGCACAATTCATTGCTGAAGTTGGATCATGCAATAGTTTTACAAGAAAAAGACAAAAAGTTCTGTGTACTACACATAGTGCATGTCACCATGAAGACTTTCAGGGTGTAGATTAAGACAAAAGAGTGATTAAAAACATCTGCATGGATTTGGTTGTACCTATCAAATGGAAGGAAATTCACTGGAATTACACAGAAATTACTCTGTCCTGGGCTTAATGTACACCAGCACTCTGACCCACATCCAGTGAGAGGGTAAGGAACGTGGCTTGTGTACACACCCCTCCTGCAGTCCTCACATGGTCTTTCAGAGTATGCAAACTGCGCTGTTTTGGAGTGGTCCACGTGACTTTTACTGCCCATTTTGCTAAAATTCTATTAGCTTAAGTTTGAGAGGTTTTTCCTGCCCTTACGAAGAAACATCTAAAGAATAATGCATCATACAAATAAAATACCAACTGTTCCTTCACCTTCTAATTGCTCTGGGAGTTAAATGCTCTATGGAAATAAGATCATCTATACCTTTGACAAGTCGATTTTCTTTGCATATTTAAATTAGGAGGTTAATAAAGAGTAAATGTTGGTTCTGTTGCAACCAATGGAGACAGAGGAGACCACTATTTCCAGGAGACTTGCCAAACCCCAACTCTGGAGGGAGTCTGATGGGGCTTGTGTGAAAAGAGGACAGGGCCTGGGGAACACACTCCAGCGTGGCTACACTCCCAAGGTTGAGAAGTTTCCAAACAGGGCAACAAGAAAAAGAGGAAGAAAGTCTTCCCTAGGTGTAAGACCTGAGTCTGCGGTTCCAGTAATGAGACACAAACCTGGGGGTCTTCCCAATCACTGTCAATCCCTCCCTCCCAATTCTGAAATAGGATCCTACTAAATTTACAGAACTACACTCTTCTGTAAAGAAGTTCTTATTTGATTATGCTTCGGGGAAATATGCAGCACAGCAGAGGTACGTGTATGCAAATGCGCACTGGGAGAGTTCTCTCTTGTTCGTTAACCGGAAGTGCCAAGAAGTCAAATGATCTCAAATTAAACCACTACTGTGAAAAGTTACATTTAAAGGATGAAATGGAAGAGTCAGAGAGAGGCTAAAAGAGTGCCGCACAGGCTCCACATGCAGGAGGCTGGCCTTGATGCCTGGGGACCATACAACCCCCCGCTGAGCATCTCTGGGAGTGACCTGAGCCCAGGGCCACGAGGAACCCCAAGTGCTACCGGGTGTGGTCCCAAACTCCAAAGCTAACTAAGTAAACTGAAAGATGAAATAAACAGGTCACTAAGAAATCAAAGATGATCCCCAAACAGTACTGACAAAAATCACAAAAATAACGCAGTCTGAAATGTAAGGATGGCCTTAAAACAGACTGAAGCCAGAGAAACCAGGGACCACATCTCAGCAGCTGCTGAGCTGGGCCACGGAGGGGAATGGAGGCGCAAGGCTGGGCTGCCCTCCTTAGGTGACCTTACACACTGCCGGTCCTTCCCAGGCTGTGTCACTGGCTGCAAAGCAGGACAGGCAGCAGTGGCCATGTGCTTTTTCCCCCCTCCCCGTGCGGGTTTGCTTTTTTTTTTTTCTTTTTCTTTTTCTCTGCAAAGGGGCAATTATTCCTGAATAAGGCAAGATAACTGTGGTCATGAGAAGCAGCCAAACGCAGATCTGCCAAGCCAACGGGGAAGACTCAGTCTGTCTTTCCCAGCTTTGCAATCAGCTCATCACAGATCTTCGTCAATTCTTCAATTTCTTGGTTCTGAAAGACAAAGAGATAATATGGAGGCCACTGGACTGAGATAGAGCTTAGTCCCAAGACTACCTACACATCCTGGCTCAGTGATCCCAAACTCTGCTACATCAAAGACCCTTTAAGGAAAGGAGTGCGCCTTCCTTGGCAGTGCTCACATGCTCAGTCCTGCTCAGAGCGCACAGTCTCTGACAGGAGTCAGGTCTGATCTCCTCCAGGGAACGGAGACTCTAAAGTCTTATCTGTCAGGAGGGTTATCAGACTCAGGAGGAAAACCCCTGCTTTGGCTGAAAGGATGGAATGGGCAAGGCACAGAACTGGAGAACACAGTAAGAAAATCATGAGCAACGCACAAAAGGAAGCCCAAGGATCACTGAGCAGCGAGAAACAGGGCCTGCTGCGACTGCTGATGTCCATGCATCAGCAGTGGTGTTTGTCAGCCACAGCACCATCCACATTTTGTGTTAAGTCAGTCTGAGGGGGGCCGTTCTGGGCACTGTAGGATGTGGCTTCTCGCTGGGTCACTGGGGCATCTGTCAGTTGTGATAACCACATACATCCCAGATGTCCACTGGAGAGTAAAGTCACAAGGAAGAAGCAACATCACTTCAGCCATCGCTTATGAGCAGAGTGGGGTTCTCTCAACACCAGTGAACATGGCGCCCTCTCAGCAGCCACCTGGGCACGTGGCATGCTTCAGTTAATGGGCCCGGCCTGCATCCCGGCTGCCCGCTGCTTGTACCTTCTGCTGCAGGGCCCTCTCCAGCGACTCCACCTTCATCTGCTCTCTCCGTAGCCCGGCATGAAGCGCTGCGCTCTCAGCCTTCGCTTTGGTTCGAACCTGCGCAATCTCTTCGTTGGCTCTGTTTGTGGCGGGTGGTTCGCAGAAGAGACAAAAGCACAAAGCTGGTCATCATCATGGCTAATGAGTCAAATGACAAACCTCTGACAGCTGTGAGACACAGATCGAAAAGAACTGACCTCAGGAAGAAAGAAAGGAGGAATCTTATCCATTTTAGTTTATAAAAACTTGGTGCATACCCAACTGTTCTGGAGCTTTCTCAAGTCTCACAATGCAGGCCAGAGCGGCAGTACAGCGAATAGGGCGTCTACCTTCCAGAGCAGAACCAGGAGTGACCCTTAAGCACTGCTGGGTATGAATCACCCCCATTCCTTCCCCCCAAAATGCAAAGTCCATGTAACTAAAGAATGGAACCAAGTGATAGTTTCTACAATCTTTACTTTCTTAAACCCCAAATAATACTGGGCAGGTCCATTTGGGGGTGACTGCAGCTAGAGACTGTGAAGGATTTTATACCGAGGTTGGTCCTCTTCACCCAGGTGATCAAAGGAGACTCATGATAAATCAAACCCTCTTCCCCCTCAAACCCAAATTCTGAAAAACAGAACAAATCCAAATCAACAACAAGAACCCTAGGGTCTTCTTTAGGGCAAACAAAGAAAATGACCAAAAACGTTAACTCGGGGGGGTGAGGAGGGGCAGCTGAGAAAAAACAGCTGGTACGGTGCTTGCCTTGCATGTAGCTGACCAGGATTCAATCCCATACAGTCCCAAGAGCCCCAGGAATGATCCTGAACACAGAAGAAGGCCCTGAGTACTGCTGGGAGTGGCTCCATTTCCCCCAAAAGTTAACTCTGATGACAGCAAGTGAGAAAGCTTCTGCAGAAACCAATCTTAATGATAGAGAAATGGGGAGAGCCTAAATGATCACAAATTAAAAATGACTATTATGGAGACAATCAGTGAAACACATCAAATTCACCACACCATGAGATCAAACATTAATTAAGAAAGCAAATGCCCAAGCAGAGGGGTTCTTCCACCAAGGGGCTGAAGCAATTAAAAAAAAAATTCCAAACAGCTTGGCTGGATAAGAGAAACAGTTGACGTATTGAAAACTCCCATGGAAAGCAGAACAAACTGGTTTAGTCATAAGACAAACTGAAATAAAATTCCAGAAATGATGTGAATGGAAGAGGAGAGATAAGATCTAAGAAAAATAAAGAAGCTTTCTTTCTAGAGCTGACTGCTGTCAAAGAGACATCACAAAATGTGCATAGCAGAAGGTGAAGTGAGAAAGATGGACTAGCGTGTCTCCTGGAAGAAAGAACACCCGAGAACTTCCTGTCCTGAGAAAAGAGCTCAGCAGAGATATGCGGAGGAGGCTAAGGAAACACCCAACGTCTAAAGGCAAAAAGACATGCAGAGTTATTAAATCTTCCCCCAACAGGCAAAGATGAAGGCACATACAAACTAAGGCACCTCTTACCACACTGTTATTACACTTCTGAGCAGAAACTCCCCAGGCCAGGAGAGAATGGGATAACATATTCACAATAAAAGATAAAAACTTCCCAGAGGAGCCAGAGTGATAGGACAGCGGTTACGGCGTTTGCCTTGCAATGTGGCTGATCCGGGTTCGGTCCCTGGCACCCCATATGGCCCCGAAGCCCAGGCAGGAGTGACCTCTGATACTGGGGTGATGGGGTTGAGATCTGAGGTCGGGAAAACTGTACACCTGGAATTTGATCATGATTGTAAAGTTGGGTGCCATGAAGAACTTTATAAATTACAGTACCTCAATAAAAATAAATAAGAAATAACTTCCCAGAGCAGGGAGGCTGAAAAGATAGTGCACAGCTGACCTGGGTTCACTCTCAGGCATCACATGTGGTTCCCCAGACCCACCCTGCCAGGCGTGATCCCTGAATGCAGAATCAGGAGTAACCCCTGAGCACTGCTAGGTATGTTCCCTTTTCTTTCCCCCACAAAATTCCTGCCTCTCCCCCATGTTTCCCCTCTTTTTTTTAACTTGTCCCGCAAAGCTTTAATTCACCCCCCCCCCTTTTTTTGTAGGAGAGAGGTTTTGAGCTACACCTGATGGTGCTCAGTGGCTACTCCCAGCACTGCTTTGCGGGGGGGGGGGGGGGGGGGGGGGGTCAGTCCCAGTGTAATAAGAGATTTTAAATACCCTGAATGTTTAACGGGAGAGGACTGGCTAAATACGTAACACATTTCAATAGCGCTGTCTACTGGGAGTACGGGAGCTCTCCAGGGAGCTTGCCAGGAAAGAGCTGCATAATATACTGCTAAGTGAAAAAGCAAAGTTGGCTATCATCTAAATGAAAAAAAATCATCGCAACATGACAACTAGTGGTTCTGTGACCTAATAGGAGATGTCAGTAACTCTAAGGCGGCGATCATTCGTATACATCGATGTACACGAGCAACAGGTGGCGAAACTTCCACTTACACAGCCTTGGCTGTCAACTCTGTCTCAGCAAAGCTGAGTGGAAAACAAGGAGAAAAATCTATCAGGAATGGATAAAACGGGGATGCCCAGGGGGATGGACAAGAGGCCAGGCTGGATGGAAAGACTGTATGTTTTTATTCTTTTAAATGCTTGAACCAGGTGAAAACTGTACATATTTGAAAAATAAAATAAAATCAAGTGTTGCCCAGACCATGGAAACAAAGAACATGAGACCTAGTGTTCAGAAGCAAACACATCACTTGGGGGCCTGGGGGACAGCACAGGGAGCGGGCAACAACTACGACGGAGGGAACCGTTTAACAGCGGGGAGTTGGTGATGCCGGAAGGTGGTAAAGGACGTATGAAAAGTACATATAAGAGCATGTATAAAGTTACCTATGAAACCCATCAGCAACAGCACGCTCAACCAGTGCAAAGCAGCCCTGGTAGAGGCAGACTGCTGGGTGGGAGGCAAACGGGGGGCACTGGTGGAGGGAAGTGGACACCAGTGATGAGACAGGAGCTGAAACACTGCCTGCCTGAAACCCAATCGTGAATAACTTTGTAATTTCACAGTGACTACAATTTTAAAAATAAAAAAAAAAATTTAAAAATCGAGTGAAACATACAGTGATTACTTCTCTTTTGCCGCCATTAATCTTCCTGCCATCATGGAAAGTAAAATTCAACATGCACAAGCTCTTACTTGTCAAGTTTCTCTTCCGCATGGATTTTCAGGGCTTGGTACCGCTGCTCCTCTTGCTTAACTCTGGCTAAGTAATCCTGAGCACATTTTTTCAAGGCTTCTTCATTCTGTTTCAAAGGATAATTTCAAGTAAGAGGCACAGGTCATTCCATCGTTCTGCTGCCATGTGTGGAAGAAAACCTCATCAATTTAGCAGCTTTTAAGTTATTTTCTATGGCAATTTGATAAGATGTTACCTTACTGGTACAAATAATTCTCATTGGGAAGATTCTAGAACATTTCTTCATGTGTGAATCTGTGACACATACACTAAGGAAGGTTCTGCTCTGCTCCCTATAGGAAGGTAGTTACTGCTGGAGAAGTGCCAAGGAAGGATGCACACATGCTGGACCTGCCTGGACCCCAAAGCACCACCAGGTGTGACCCCCCCCACACACACACACTAAACCTGTGATGGAGGGTGGCAGTTCCAAGGAGACAGAACAGGGATTATGGTATATGCAAAGCACACGCCTGATCTAGTTCAATCCTTGGCAACACATGCTCCAGCCCAGCATCATGACAGTGGCAATTTGGCTGGAATGAAGGCTGCAAAGCCAACAGTGGCCATTCAGTGAGTTTAAGACTACTCACAGGTCTGAATATCTAATGTTTTTGTCTGTTTGTTTTGGGACCACACCTGGTGCTCAGGGATGATTCTTGGCGGTTCTCAGAGCACTATTATGTGGTGCCAAAGACAGAACCCAGGTTGGGTGCATGCAAAGCCAGGGCTTACCTGCTGTACTATCTCTCCAGCTCCTAACACAAAAATATTGTAGCAAGGAGAGTGAAATTAAAAAAAAAAAAAAAGGCTCTCTTACCTTCTTGAAGCCTTCCAGAACACCTTTCAGGTTCTCGTATCTCCTGAAGAGATCAGAAAGTGACCTTTCCACGGAGTTCAGGTCAGCCAGGGCTTGCTCCTTCTCCATGGTCAGCTGCTGGAAGCTCTTCTGGGAGGTCATATTTGTCCTCTGCTCATCTTCTGTGAGTCACAATCAAAAGCAATAGCAAATTATTCAACAAACAGCTGTCCTGGGTGAGCTGAGCCTGGGTCTGAGCAGCAGGGCCCCACCAGAGGACATAACCAAGTACCCACTCCCCAGGATTTAGATTTAAGTACTCACATGACCAAGTATCCATGTAACCAAGTACCCACTATCAATGACTTAGTTCCATGTACCCACCCTCAAGGACTTATGCCCAAGTACCCATGTAACCAAGTACCCACATAACTAAGTACCCACTCTCCAGGACTTATATCCAAGGATACACTCTCAAGGAATGAGAGCTTCTGGAGGATAAGGTATAGTTACAGGTGAGGGGTAGGGCAGGGTGAGCTGGTGAGAGGTCGTTCTTATTGTACGCAGAGAAGCTGCCAGGGATCCAAAAGCACTGAGGAAGAGAGCCAGGTAGCAGCCCCTAGAAGACTGTCCCACACAGCCAGCAGTGCCAAGGCCCTGGGTTGGAAAGGCATTTGGTGATAGGGACAGTCACGAATCTCTCAGTTTGATTCTGACAAGCATTATCAAACACCACCAAGCAGAGACCCCAGGCCCGGAGACGAATGCTGGGTACGGCCCTAAGCTCTGTGCTCTCTGCTCTGGCCCACCACAGCTTTCAAATGCTGGTAGTTCCCTAAGATGAACCTGACCACATCTGGGAATTCACTCCCAAACTAATACTTGCAGAGTTCCTGGTCATTCCCAGACACTCTCAGAGCAGAAAACATTCCACGCATCTGCAGTGGACTTCCCCAGCTATGGCCACACTGGCCTGCCTTCTCACCTAGGACCATAGCCAAGTGTCCTTTACACAGTCTATTTACTGCCAGGCTTTTTTGCACTTGCATACATTTTTGTTGGTGGTATAAAAGGGAAAGAGAAATAATGCTTGTGCAGAATCAAACTCAAGACTACAGCAAGGGCGCAAACGCCGCATTGTATCCCCAGCCTTGTTAGTGATCAGCCTATTTTAGACACCCCGGAGATAGTGCTGGAGTGCTGTCTAGTGTCCCAATGAGCAGGAAGGGAGGAATGTGTCTCAGACGCAAACACATGTACTAGACAAGCATTGTTCAAGACCTCTAGTGCTGCTGGCTATAAAGTCAAGGTTAACAAATCACCACTACTTATTAGTGGCGAAACGCTAATATGTGCTGATCAGAGAAAGTTCAGAAGCTCTCAGGAACCCTGCCCTGTGCTTCCCCAACAAAGAATGCTTTGGTGTTCGGTAATCTACAGTCTATGGTGGCTTTAGAGAATACAGCTACTGCAAATATGAGAATCAACTGGATTCAAGTGAAGAATAACTTGACATGTGTATTCTGCTCTGAAAATTATTCCAGGATCCTATGTTGGGGCCTGGAATGGCTCTGCAGCTCTAAGTGCTTGTCTAGCAAGCAAGAGGTCATGAACTCAATCCTGATGCTGCATACATATACAAAAACAATCCTGACATTTCTGCCTGGAATGCCTGGTAAAGATGGACCTAGCTCAGAGGCCTAGGAAATATCACAGCCAACAAGAGGTGATGAGCTTAATTCCTGGTGCGTCACTGCAGGTATGAGGGAATCTGAGAGCTCCAAAGTCCAGGAGCCCTGGTGAGACACATAAGGAAGATTCTGGGTTTCAGACCCTAGGAAAAAATGTCCTTACCAATCATTTGGGCAATGGTTTTTTCATATTCAGCCACAATTTTCCTTTAAAAAAAAAAAAAGGAGGGGGGAAAAAATCAGGAGAATTTTTCAGACAGAAAGTTGAAACTTCAAACAGAGGCTGAAGAAATGTTGCACCATACAGATACGAACGTATTCTGACAAATTTACACAACCTACTTTTCTGCTCTGGACTTGCTCTGTTTTGTCTTGGGGCCACACCCAGCGATGCTAAGGGGTGACCCTTGGCTCTATGCTCAACTCCTGGTTATACTTGAAGGATCATATGGGGTGTCAGGCATCAAATCCAGGTCAGCCACGTGCGAGGCAAGTGTTCTACCTGCTGTACTATATCTCTCTGGCCCTGGACTTTTAAAAAACAGTTATATAAAATTTATTAATTTTAGAAAGGTAGGACAGTTCTTGCTTGGGCATCACACCTTGCTGTGCTCAGGAGCAGCTCTTAGCTTAGTGCTTACGGCTGCTCCCAGCAGCACCCCAGAGACCAGGATCAAAGCCAGGCCTCCTACAGGAACCATCTCAATAGGACCACATATAGATCACTCTATTCATTTTTTTTTTTTTGGGAAGGCCACTCTCAGTGGTGCTCAGGGCTCACTTCTGGCTCTGTGGTCAGGGATCTCTTATGGTGAAGCATATGACCATTTGGAGTGTTGGTATCTGAATCCCAGTCAACTGCATACAAGGCCATACACCCACTGGACTACCTCTCTGAACACAAATATTTCAAACAAATCAATGTCTTTTCAAAGGATAAGAATGATCTAGGTTCTGCTTATAATGTTCTTGAATAGCACATAGTAAGTTAAAAGTAATTAAATGTAATAACTGCTTAGGAATTATTGATGACAAATTCTGGTACAACTAGCAAAGTCTCGAACTTATTAACAGATGATTCTATGTAATTTTTTCATGGCTTCATTTCATCTGAAACTGACTACAGACAGGCACCAACCCCTTCCCCAAACTTGCAGTCTGACCTCATCTCCAAGACTTCCTGGCGGGTTTCTTCATATTTTTTCTTCCATTCATTTGCTTCGATTTCCTTAGTGATTATCTAAAATGTACAAAAGATAAAGTTTGGTTTTATCTACATAACCTGTTAGAGTCTGGATTGAGAGACTGAAAACAACAGAAAACCAGGATCATCCTAAAACACTCCGTCTACATGAGGCATATAAAGCCTTGACATCTGTAAGCACATGGAACAGGAGTTGAGACTATTTAGCCCATGGAAGGCTCTGGTCCATGACTGGATAGACACTGATGCTTCTGTTCAGGTGCCCATGGCCTGTCTGACTATAGATTATGGACATTGAAAAAAATGTCATAAATATCTAAAAGGCCCTTGGCGGAGCAGGAAGACTCTGCAGCCTGCTCTAGAAGCATAATGTGCCTAAGTAGTGGGGGAAATGTACGCTTGGCCACACAGGATGCTTTGGAATGTGGCCACCAGGGTAAAGGTGAGCAGAGACAGTCCCAGGTGATAATAACAAAGTGTGAATGTGACCTTGACAGGCCTGGCTCTCAGCTGTGGAGGCCAGTGACTGCGACAGGACACCAAGAGCAGAGCCATCTGTCTTGTAGATACACAAGACATGACAGCGCCACAAAATCAGTGTTGGACATCGGCATGAGTAAGACATTCCTTCTGTCAATACCACTCACTGCCGGACATGAACGGAACAGAAAGGGGCCCACAGAACCAAGCCATCTATCCATTTGCATCCATCTTGCTCCTGGCAGGATCCTATTAACTAGACAAAACCCACACCCCTACTTAAGATATCCTCATGAGCTAACAAAAAAAATACTTTTAGCTCATTACTATGTGTGAGGTTTGCTCGGGACCAAATAGTGGTTTGCGATGAAACAGCGACATTCCCAGAATCAAAGATCACCCTGCCCCCAGCACAGAAGACAGGACTCATGGCCACCTGGACATGAAGCCATGAGGCTATACCCAGTGCTTCCTCACATCCACCCCCTACAGATAACAGGCCAGACCAAGCACACGGGCCCACTGGTCTATGTTCCCTTCTCCCCTTTTCCTGCACAAGACAACTTACAAGCCTCCTTAGTCTCTCCCAGGGTACAGCTGTACCCCAGCATCATGCTCCATCTGCCGCAGAGCGCTCCCCAATAAACTTCTACTTCCTTCACTTTATTTGTCTCTGTGCCTCTGTCTGTGCCGGAGAGGGTTCTCAGATCTATCACTACAGACTCCATTTGCCCCAGCCAGGGAGTAGTATGCACTGTTCGCACTGCAGCGTGCTCTGGAGAGCTTCCTCACTACGGCTCCCAGTGGTTAGGACAGGACTGACATCTGTCATTAGCCATATGATGGGCATCTGCATCTCTACATCTACATTTGGGTGGGGGCAGGGATAGAGTCCGGGGCCTCACCCATGCAAAGCTGTGCTGCATCTCTCTAGCTGAGCTGTATCTTGAGTTTCAAATAATACACTTTTCCAAACTACTAAAGACCTTCATCAGAGATATTTAGCTAATCTCATCATATAAAAACAAAACTAATATGCCAAGGAATACTACTTCTCTAAAAACAACAAAGTGAAACCATCCAGGAACACACAAATCAGAAGAATTATGATGGGTGAGAAGAGCAACCAGTCCACAGTAGATTACACCATCTTTCTTACTCTTTATATCACCAAGGAAATGCGGTGATTTATTTTGAACGAAGGTTGCTCAAGAAGCATAATACAGGAATTTGACAGTTGAACTATTTCAAAAACAGCTGAAAACAGGGAACAAGTTTAAAATATTTCAAGCTGAGAATGTAAGAAGCTGTTAGGTGAATAGTGCACACATCCACTCTCGATGCAGGTGACTACTTAGTTGTCTATGTGGACAAAGGTGGCAAAAGTTAGATATTTAACATTCCATGGCTTGTTTATTGATAGAGTTGACACTCTTAGGAACTTAGTCTCTTAGACCATTCACTGATGGATCTGCCCATTAATGAATCTCTTCGTTTATGAATGTTTGCTCATGTCCACAGTAAAGAAATCTTTTTAGTTTTATTTATCAAGTATCCATACTATTAATAGAATATTTAAGATTTTAAAAAAATTCCATGGCTTGAAAGACAAAAAATGTACAGCATTTGAGTCAGTCTCTGCCCCCCACACACATACCAGAACGCAGGGCTCCAGTGCCAAGCCAGAGAGTTACAGGGAGCCCTTTATCGGAGGCTAAACAGGCGTGGGGAATAAACTCTGGCTGGGGATGATGACTCAAGCTAATGGAGATGGAATCTACCCACCATCAATGGGTTACATTTACAGAGGAATGGAGCGTTAAGTGGACAAAACACAGTCAGTCTTTACCTCCTCTCTTATCAGGGTGAGCACGGCGGTCTTATCTGACTCGCTGAGGCAGATGCCATCCAAAGGGCTCTCCCCTCCACAGGCCACGGACACGGGGGCCTTCTCCAGGGAATCGGGCAGTCCCTGTGGGGCAAGAGGGTGCGCAGGATACATTCAGTGTCTTAATCCCCAAGAGTCTTCAGTAACTCATTACTAAAGTGATTGAATCCTTGATTTTAATTTTGTTTTGTTTGGGGGCCACACTAGACTGCTCAGGGCTTACTCCTGGCTCTGCCCACCAGAATCACTCCTATCAGGTTTTGAGGGAATATATACAGTGCTGGGGATCGAAGTCTAGGTCTGGCTGCACACAAGGCAAACAAATGCCTTACCCACTGCACCATCTCTCTGGACCCTGATCATGTCTTTCAAAAATTGGCATGCCAGGGAAAGCAAAAGAAAACAACCACGAGCTTTAAAAAGAAAGACAGAAAGAAAATCCTACCTAGAGGTGGGGGGAAAAGCTCATGTTGGGCATGTGGGAAGTCTGGGCTTAATTCCTGGCACCCCAAAGTTCCCTGAGCACCGCCAGGAGTAGCTCCTGAGCTATAGTGCTCCTGAGCACTGCCAAGTACGGCCTGAATACAAAGTCAAATATATCTACTTATACAAAAAAAACACTGTTCTTATGCCTTGCCAGAGGTATTGCTTCTTCAAACACATAGAAGTGGTGTCACTGCCAGAGCTGTAAGTACCAAAGAGTTACACACAGACAGAAGAATCCTGGGTTAAAGTCTCATTCTTCGGGGTATTTCTGGGGTTGATGAGTTGATATAAATAAAGTTTTCAATAACATATTGATGAGGTCCAGCCACTTGGGGGAAATACTTCAGAGACATATTACTAATGGGACCTATGGAAGCAGAAATGGCTAATGTCTGTTTCCTGACCCTGACCCCAAATGCTCCTGAATCTCTGGATTGAGATTCACCTGTTTTGCCGTGATGTCAGCAATACTATCCTAGGAGGGAGCGTCACTATTTGGGGTGGGTTGAAGAGAGGGATTGGAACACAGTGGCTGTGTGTGGGTGCTATTTCTGGCTCAGGAGGCTCCTACGGGACCAAGTGGATCAAATGGTGCCAGGAATCGAAACCAGGACTTCATCTGTGCAAGACAAATGCTCTACAACTGAGGCACAGCCCCGGCAGTATAAGTAAGTCACCTTCTGATGCAGCAATTTTCCCCATAAACTCAGATTACCTGTGACTGGTATTTTTCATTCATCAGAATCTGTGTGTGTGTGTGTGTGTGTGTGTGTGTGTGTGTGTAATCCAAGCCCTCACACAGTACAAAGTCGGTGTTCTCCCCCTGTACCATATTCCTGGCACTCTACTTTCCTCCCTAAAAGGCGTTTTTTGGATTATTCCCTCCAACCTCTGACAGAAAACATTCTGAATAAATGGGGTGAGTCAGGAGAATGACACACTGTCATTCCAAATGCCAAATCCCAAGTGTCCTGGGAAAAATCTCAGTAATATTAATGTCAACGTCAGTATTACAGGTCAGTTCTTTGTTGAACCAAAACTGAAAGTCCAAAGTCAATTTATACCCATAGTTTTTTTTTAATTCCAATATCATTATAGACTCACTGTCTCTCAAGAAAACACTAAAAATCACATACAGAATTCTTGCAGCCACACAGACACAATCCAAGGACCAATCTAGAAACCTCTTGCTCAGGATACAGTAAAGAAATACAAATGTTGCAGGCTGATAGTGAGCTCTGCTCTCAGTGAGGGATGGGGAGACCCTCACCCCCACAAACAGATTCCAGGGTTCACCCAGAATCAATCTCTCTCTCTCTCTCTCTAAGGATAAATCCATCAGTGGAGTCAGAAGCCAGAGTGGTGGACAGTCTCTGAAATGACCCCCACTGACCCCCATTTCCTGGCACTAATCCTTTGCTACGATCTCTTCCCCTTGGTGTAGGCTGGTCCCAATGATTCACTTCTACTTGGGGGATGGTGATGCACCTGGCAGTACCAAGGGGTCAAACCTAAGCCTCCTGCACATGAAGCATGTATTCCAGACCCTGAGTTCCATCTCTGGGCTCACAATCATTCACTTCTCAGGAAGAGAATATGTCACTTCTGAGATGGCATGGCAAGAAGGCTCCAATCTTCATGTTGTGAGAGCTCAGGGGGCAAGGAACCACATGAGTGAGCTAGGAAGTTGGGCATGGCAAAGCTGGCTTTGACTGAGGTCTGGGAGAAACCCCGGCAGAGGTATCCAGCAAAACTGGACCAGGATCCTTGATCCAGAAATGACAAGATAATAAATGCTTGTTGTTTTAGAGAATTGGAACTGTTGATTTTTTTTTAGAATAATTAATTGATAAGAAACACATCAATTCTGGACATTTTAATCACCTTATTAAATTCCTATTAAATTAGGGCTGGAGAGATAACACAGTGGTGGGGCATTTGCCTTGCACGCAGCCAACATGGCCGACCCGAGTTCGATTCCTCCGCCCCTCTCGGAGAGCCCGGCAAGCTACCGAGAGTATCTCGCCCACACGGCAGAGCCTGGCAAGCCACCCGTGATGTATTCGGTATGCCAGACACAGTAACAACAAAGTCTCCAATGGAGATGTTACTGGGCCCGCTCGCAAATCGATGAACAATGGGAGGGCCTTCACCTTTTTATTAAATTCCTGTATCATGTTTCTCTTTACCCCTCTTGGGCCAGAGACAGCGCTCAATGGCTGAGTGCATGTTTTACATGTGAGAGGTCTGGGTTTGGTCCCAAGCATGATTCGGTGCCCCAGCACCAGTGGGAATGAACCCTGAGCACAGAGCAGGGAGTAGCCCCTGAGCACCACCAGGTGTGACAACAAAACAAAAACAAGGAACTTCAGGGGCTGGAGCGATAGAACAGTGGGCAGGGGGCTAGCCTTGCAAGCTGCCGACCATCCCAAATGGTCTGGCAAGCCTGTCCAGGAGTGACCACTGAGTGCAGAGCTAGGAATAAGCCCTGAGGCTGCAGGATGTGGCCCCCAAAACCAAAAACAACAACAAAAGTTTGGGTCACAGGGAGGATCTTAGCAAATACCACCATATCCGAGTGATCAAAGTCAACTTTCCCCCTAGATACTCCTAGGTAAGCATCACTTCTGCAGTCTTCTGGTGTCCTCTGCTCCAAATGAACAAACACAATTTAAGTGGAGAAAAACTGAAAAACATTCAATAAAACATCTCAGTACTCATGGGAAGTGTCAAGCTCAGGAAAGGCTGCGGGACCGTCAGTCTAAGTGGGGAGAGGAAGTGGTGGACTAGAAGTGACACAAGGAAGGTGGAGGAAGGTCTTGGGCAAGTGGGCAAAGGTGGAGTGACCGTGAACTTCAAAATCATAAACAATAATACTCTTGTGACCACATGACCTAAAATTTACCACAAAAAAAAACCCAGAACGTAGTACAATGGGTAGGACATTTATCTTGTTTTGTGCCACACCCAGCAATGCTCAGAGGTTCTTCCTGGCTCTGCACTTAGGAATCACTCCTGGTGGTGCTCGAGAGACCATATGGGATGCAGGTTTCAAATCCGGGTGAGCTATGTATAAGGAAAGTGCCCTATCCGCTGAACTATTGTTCTGGCCTCAAAGGGCACTTATCTTGAAGGCAGATGATAGGGTTCTACCCCAGTACCACAAAAGTCCTCAAGTCTTGTCAGAAGTGATTCCTAAGTGCACAGTCAGGAGGGATCAATGAGCAGAATGGCCCCCAAATAGAGAAATATTAAATTAATTAAATGTAAAAATAAAAAGAAAAGAGACTAAGAAGCCCAAAGCTGAGAACTGACGTCCTCCATTCAAACACTTTCAGTTCATGGGGCTGGAGGCTAGTATAGCGGATAGGGGGCTGGCATGTCTTGCATGGGGCCAACGTGGGTTCAGAAATCGGGGAGCTGCAGTGCCAGGGATGGCCAGGGGCTCCCACAGCAGAGTTCGCAGCCCAGTCTCTGGCCTCACCATAGTCTCTGTTTCTCAGGTGCACTTAAATACAGTGCACTCTCTCTCTCTCTCTCTCTCTCTCTCTCTCTCTCTCTCTCTCCTCTTCCTCTCTCTCTTTCTCTCTCTCTCTCTCTCTCTCTCTCTCCTCTTCCTCCCTCCCTCTCAACCCAGGGCCACATACATGCAAGGCAAATACATTACCTCTGAGCTATACCCCACCCCCAGTAGTGCTTTTCAAAAGAAACAGGATAAAAACCATATATAGTATAAATATTTCCAGTAGCCACTTTTTTTAAAATTGAAAAGAATAGGTGCCTTTAATTTTTATGACTAGCTTATTTAATGCAATTGATTCCAAATATCACCTCAACATACAATCAATATAAAAAGCTAGACACTTTCTATTCCTGGTTTTGCGTGTGTGTGTTACCAAATTTTCAAAACGTGTATTTGACATTTTTAGATCATCTCAAGTCAGACTGGCCCCGGTTCCAGTGCTCAGTACCAGCAGCTATTGAGGGCACCATGGCCTGACTCCTCAATAAACAAACTGGTGTCTCTATCTCAGTCCCATCACCAAAGAATGATTAGAATTTGTTTAACTAATTAACATGGGCTTAAAAAAAAAAAAACACCAAAACCCAAAATCAAGAGCCCCACCCCCCACCGTCCGCGGTCAGACTCACAGGCAAGGCCGGGTCATCCTTTCCCGTCGTCTGGCTGGTCTCTTTCTCAGCGCCTGAAACACAGAGAGTCATTTTTACATCACCGAAAGGTCAGCTCCTTCCAAGTGGAAGTCTGGGCAGGCCAGCGCAGGACATCTGTGTTCTGAGGAGCGCTTGCATTCTGTGGCCACGGGGGCACCGCAGAGGAGTGCGCAGGGCCGGCCAAGTGCAAGTGACACGAAGAGCAAGGCTGCCCCCTCGTGTCCACAAAGAAAACTTCACAAATGAGCAGCTCTACTATGGATTAGACTTTATTATCCAGTCTGAGAGAATTTAAAACTCCATCCCAGAATGGTACTCTCAATCTTACTGACCTAGCAGATAAACTTCACTGTTTACAGACCAGACTCATCATCTTCCCAATACCCTTTAAAACTGGTTTTCTCATCTCTAGCATAACTTCCACTCTACCAGCAGAGGCAATATTTAAAAACAAAGAACAAACCAAGATTGCTTCCTCTAAGGAACAGAGACTCACTCAGGACAAAAATCTCAAATTTGGGAAAGCACCAAGTACTACAAAGTGCAATCCTCGACCTGGATGCTTAAACAGCCCTTTGCTATTGCTACCTATCAACAGGGAATTCTCTAAAACACAGATGTGATCCCTACTGGTTTTCTTTGGCTGGCTGATGAACTTTTCCAGTTTGGGGCCACACCTAGCAATGCTCGGAGCATACTAGTGACTCTGTGCTCAGGGAAGCAGATGTGGTGCCAGGGATCAAAATGCAGTGGGCCGTGCAGCCTAGGCCTGGTCCACCTCTCTGACCCCACATCACTGCTCGGTGAGACCTTTAGTGGCTGCCCAGTTCCTCAGTCTAACACTCCTTTACCTACCTGCTCTCTCCTCATCCAGAAGGCTCCTGAGCATTCTAGCAACACAGCAGAATTGGTTCCTTCCAATTCCTATGTGAGATTCTCTTCCCCTGATGCACATCTGTTTGTTTCCATCTGCCTTTCTACTGGGAATGGTGTCTGATGCACGGGACAGAGCAGATCATCCGTCTCACCTCCAACCCTGCAGAGCCATAGCATATGCCTCTGCCCAGGCCAGACTCACCTGCTGTTCACCAACTCTGAGGACAGCACTGGACCTAATGAAACCACAGCTCTACACATTTCTGCTGAAGAGCTTTCCTCCCAGTGAGGAAGAACATTATAATTCAACAAGTATGCAGCTGCATGGGGGGAAAATCGAAACTGAATCATTCATAATCCTTTGCCTCAAAAATTCATCAAAATTACTCTACTAATAATTACCACAAAAAAAACGGGATCACTAAGAAGAAACGCAAGTGGAAGCCAAGTGATATCGGAGGTAGACCTGAGCAGATAGGCAGAACTAATACAGGCAGTGGCAAAGCAATGGACTTCAAACAGAAGTAAATCCAAGTACAAGAGTACCTGGGCATTAGCCTGTTTAACTGGGGTAGAGGAGCATGGACGGGACAGGAATGGGTAGCAAACAAGGTCATCAGGAAAGTCAGAGAAGAAAGAGGCCTGGGAATAAGAAAGTGCATTTGCTTTCTGGGATAGGAAAGTGAACCCGGAAAGGTGGGGAAGCCTGAGTGGATTTGAAAGCTGACCTGAATTTTCAAAATTCTAACTATAAAGGCCTCAAATGAAACTATGCTATGCCAGGACCAAAGAGGTAGCTCAGGCACTGCATGCACTAGGCCTGGGTTTGATCCCTCATCCCACAAGGAGGCACCCTAAGCATGGACCTAGGGCCAGAGCCCCTCCACACCCCCAACCCACAAACCAAGCACAAAATAGACAAATCATGCCATGGGAAAAAATCTGAGTTTTTAATAATGGGTATTAAAGCCAGGAACGTGAATCTAAACTCCACAAATCCAAGGTTAAAGATGTGACTTGGGACCTAGAAGAGCCTCAGCTCTGATGTATTTCAAACAACTCATCAGCAAGAAGCTTCAGCACAAGTTAGGTTGGGCTTGATTGAAAAAGATTATGAATTTTAGAGGGCACTGGTGAATTTCAAAGAGTAATCTCAGAGTCGACTTGTCCTGCCATACTTGCTCATGAGTCCCTGACACTTCAATAATATTGTCCCTTCTTCTCTTTTCTGGGTAATGAACCAAAACATCCATGGGGGTGGGGGGAAGGGAGGAAGAGGGAGGAAGAGGGGGAGGGAGGGGGAGAGGGAGAGGGATAGGAAGAGAGAGATGGAGAGGGAAGGCTCAAAGAGGCAAGTGCCTGCTTCTCATGTGGGAGGTCTGGGTTTAGTTCCAGGCACACATGTTCCCCCGGCACCATCAGGGTGACCCCCGAGCAGGAGCCAGATATCATCCCTGCCCTAAGAATAGCTGAGTGTAGTCCAAAAAAACAAATAAAAACCAGGCCCAGGTCAGCAACTGAAACCTTTTAAAAGAGCCGATTCTCTGGTCTCTGCAGGTGCCCCATGCCCGGGCTGTCAGGCCTTTCTATGCTTACGTATGCTATACAGATGAAGGGATGCTTCCGTACCTGCTTCTGAGGATGAAAACGCATGATTTATGGTAGACACAGGAACATTGGAACATTCAAAGTACTCCAGGTCTTCCTCTGGCTCACCTTTCACCTCGGGCCCGGTTGATTTCTGACCAGAAGAAGTGGACGCCAGTTTCTCCTCATCAGTGGCATGGCCATCTCTATTAGAAATGTCTGAAGTCTGGAAGACTGCGCCTTCTTCATCCTGGAAAATGGAGCAGAAACAAACATGCTTCCTGTGAGGAGGGCAACCAGCAAGGAAAGTGCCCTAATCATCTCTTAGGGACACAGCTGGGGTCAAGGAGACAAATCAAGGAAAACCTGCAGAAGCTCAACCAACAACTTGTCGTGTGTGTGTGTATATATATATATTTAAACTACCTTTTGTCATTCAAATCTGAAGTCTGAAAACTTTTTTTCTAGCCTAAATTTCTGCTTCTTTTGTTTTGATTTGGGGTCATGCTCGGCAATTCTCAGGGACTATTCCTGACTGAGACCAGTGATTCAAGTGCTTAGAATCAAACCCTACATGCATAGTATACACTCTTTGTATGTGGGGAGGGGGTGCTTGGGGGTGAGAAATTTTGCTTGGGCACACCTGATGATGCTCAGGGGTTACTCCTGGCTCTGCACTCAAGAATCACTCCTGCTGGTGCCCAGGAGACCTTACGGGGTGCCCGGGATTGAACCCTGATGGTGGTGCACAAGCCAAGTACCCTGTTGCTGTACTATGCATTCCAACACAATAACACAGACACTCTAGCTTGTTGCACTACTTCTATGACACAACAAATTTATAAACGAAAGGTTTAAGTGGTCAACACAACTTTTTAAAAAATTTGTTCATAAACATACTAAATTTTTTTGTGCAGATCTACCTCAAATTTTCCAGTGAAATTTTAACTTTTCAGCTGAAATTTAAGTAGCTACAATAGATGCAATGTTTGTCATATTTTAAATACTAGCTTTGCTTAATTCAATCTAGTTATTCTAATGTTCTGATATAAAAGTCAATTTTTCATGTTTCTTACTGATTTATCAGCACTGAGTCAATGTTTTTACATGGTTATTTATTAATAAAGAATTAATCAAATGTGAATCTTTTTTGTTTTTGTTTTTTGGGTCACACATGGCAATGTTTAGGGGTTACTCCTGGCTCTGCACTCAGGGGATCATATAGGATGCTGGAATCGAACCTGGATTGGCCACGTGCAAGGCAAACTCCATACCCACTGTGCTATCGCTCCAGTTCCTCAAATGCAAATCCTAAAGTATTTGTTATTTTGTGCTCAATAATCCTGGCAATCACACCTGGCAGTGCTCTGGGTACCATCTTCTTGGCTCTACCCCCCGGCATTTTAAAATCTGAAATATGGACTGGACAGAGAGCTCAACAGGCTGAGTGCAAGCTTTGTCTGCAGAAGGCCAGGGGTCAACTCCAGCACCCCACAGTGCCTTGAACCCCACTGGAAATGAGCCCTAAGCACAGAGTTGGGAGCACCAGTCACTCATGGAAAGCAATTAACTTAAACACATTCTATTTGTGGTGCTTGCCTCGCACATGACATCACTGACTGGACCCTCAGCACTGCATATGGGCAAGTGATCCTGGGCACTCGGGCAGGAATGAGCCCCGAGTACCTCTGGACATGGCCCACACCCCACCCCATCCCCTCAATCCATTCTATTAGCCAACAAATACATTTCTGCATTCACAGTTATAAAGAAAGTTTTAAAAAGAAAAATCTAGTTGCAATCAAATGGGATGTGTTTCCTAATCCATATCACTATAGACAAATAAAATTTATAGCTAGAATTAAACAAAAGTTAGTGTTGTTCTGACTGGTCTTGGGTTTGGGAATCACATCCATTGGTGCTTGGAGCTATGCCCTTGAGAGCTCCAGGCAATACAGGAGGGACCATGCAGTGTCGGGGTCCAACACCTGGTGCCTTGGGTTCTTTAATCCTCTGAGCCATCTCCCTGACCCATCAAAAATTATTTTTAATGCTCCATCAGCTATTAGCACAGGTTCCTCTATTTCACTCAAGCAGAGAATTAAAAATTATGACATTTTTAAAAAAATCCAATCATCAGAGACTTTCTTAAAATTTACATCAATATTTGAGATCTTCCCTCTGATACCCCCAGATACCTCACAGGCAGTGGTGAAACACCCTAGTAAGAGTTAGAACAGGTGAGAGGGAACTATACAAATGGAAAGGGGGCTAGAAAGGTAATACAAGGGTCAAGGCAACAATGCATTTGAATCCCTAGCACAACATATGGTCCCTCGAACCCCACCAGGGGTCACTCTTGAACAGAGAGCCAGGAATGCCCTGAGCATTGCAGGGTATTGCCCCAGAATGGGAAAGGGATCATTCTGAAAGGGCCCCCTTGTCCTCAAGGGTGCTCTTAGATTGATTTCAGGGTGGCACAGTTCTAGTCACTCTTGCCTTAGCTGAGTACTATGGACCACCATTTCGCAGCTGGAGGGTATGGATAGTCCTCGGAGACCCAGATGAAGACTGTACATTAGGGAGGATGAGGGGTGTCACAGAGCATACCAGAAGTCTCACCAGAAGGATGGGGGCAGGGGGAAATCACACAAAGAAAGCAAAGTTGGAAGCGAGCCACAGTGAGAAAAGACCGAGAAACACTTCCAGACATGCTCGTCACCACCAGTTTGGGGACCACTGTGGAGACAGACATGGGCTTACCTGAGAGCATTCATCCAAATGAGCCTGAGTTTCATACTTCTTCACCTTACAGCCACTCCTGGAAGGGGGAGAAAAAAGGGCCAGACCAATTTATATTCACATTAGCAACTTCTAAGCCAGGAGATGAAGCAACGGTAGCAGGGTGTGCAAAGAGAAGCCAAAGCAAAGAGCAAAACACAAGCTCTACATCTGCATGTGAGGGAGGGAAAAGCTTTGGTGTCTCCGGGTCTTCTCCCAGGAGACAGGGAAAGCAAGAATTAGCTCAGCTCATTCTAAAAAACACTCCATACTCCATACTCACTTCCGTGGGATGTTAAACACCAATACTGTAAACCCTCCCCCCCACTCCCCGGCTTTTAATTACACATTCCCCAACAACTTTGAAAGAAGAACCTTAGAACCCCAGAGACACTCAGTTCATCTGATCCTTACTCACTTGGCTTTGACATTCATTAGAAAAATTACCACGCTGGACCAGTCTTTAAAAGTTCTTTATTGTACTAAAAGCCACAGAAGTGTGATAAAGTAGCTCCAGACCTGTGTGCTAACAAAGAAGAATTGTGGTCAACAGAAAGTATAAGATAATTTTAAGTATCATGACTCCTATTAAGCAACAAATGGAAAATCATAGCCATAACCCGGCAACATTTACACCACCCATTAATCCAATCACTACTTAAGATTCTGTTCCTTTTTAATAAAGTTAGAATCCCCAGTAATGCCAGTGTGACTGCCACCCCCTTCCCCAACTGCAACTTTCTTATAGGGGTGAGAACGTACGTCACCATAATGTAACACAGCCACTATCCAGTTCACCGTTTTCTTTTCTAATACATTTTAAGTATCACCCCATGCCACCAAACTAAGTCACTTGAATCCTTGCTTCAAGCCAGCAGCCTTATCTAGTTTAAAACAAAACAAGACAAAACAAAAAAAACACAACTCTCCAGGGCTGGAGAGACAGCAAAAGGCTAGCGCGCACATGCTTCACAGGCAGAGGCCAAGGCTGAATCCCTGGCACTGCATGGTCCCCTGAGCACTGCCAGGAGCGACATGAAGAACAAATCTGGCAGTTGCTCCTGAGCACTTCCGGGTGGGCCCCCAAACCACCCTCTCGCCCCAAATCAACTATTTTCAACCTTACGTAGCAGAGCAGGCCCCCAGGCCAGTACTGGGATGGCCTCAGGACCAACCCAGCACAGGTTCCAGGTGCACATGTTTAGGTGTGCCAAGCCAGCAAGAACAAACTCTTGTATGAGAGGCGGGGACACTAAGCACCACTGTGCTAGGCACAGACATTGCAAGGCTAAGTTACCGGCAAATGAAATGCAAAACATCGTAAGGTCAAACTCAGAAAAGGAAGCCAACATGCCATGGGAAGGTGGGCTAGAAGAGTCGGCAAGGAAACTGCCCAAAGTCCGAGGGACAAACAGAAACAACAGCAGGAGTACTTACAACAGAAAACAGAGAAATTTCACTTGTTCAGTAGTCCTGGAGCACCAATAAAATCAGAGACAGGAAAGAGACAGACAGATGGAGAAAAAAATCATGTAAAGCCTGGAATATTTATCTCTAGCTTAGTAAATGTTAAAAGGCTTCAAAGCTCTTTCTGTGAGATGAGAAACAAATTCAAAATATCATACACATGAATGTCAATAGTGATGAATGACGATTACTAACTCTAACGTAGTAAAGAAAGTGGCAGAAACATACAGAAATGTCATATATTCGAACTTTAGACGAGAAGCAAAATTCCAAATATTTGTGAATGTAAGGTTATGCAACTTCCCTACTGAGCACATGTTCATATCCAGACATGCAGAAAAAGAGAATATGCTTAAGTACATTGAGAGACAGTACCAAGTAGGGAACTTGCCTTGCACGACCCTGACACTGAGTTCAATCCCCAGCACCCACTCTGGTCACCTGAGTCCCGCAGGAGTGATTCCTGAGTATAGGGCCAGGAATAATCCCTGAGCACCATAAAGTATGGCCCAAAAAACAAACACAAACTCTTTTAAGTCAACTGCTAAAAAACCCTCTTAACTATTTAAAACAGCAGAGGACTGGAGGGACAGTAAGTGGGTGGGGTGCTCACCTTGCACACAGAGACCCAGGTTGGATCTCGGCACCCTATAGTTTTCCCTGAGTCCCCAACAAGAGTGATCCTTGAGCACAAATCCAGGAGTAAACCCTGAGCACTGCCAGATGTGGCCCCAAAATAAGCAAAAACAAATGTGCATATTAATGAACTTATAGCTGATAATGGATCTTCTTATATCTATTATATTTACATATCCCTAAGATGTTTAAAAAGACTTTACATAATTTAGCTTATTTGAGATGCAAAAAAATCCAATTTGAGAAGTCAATTATATGCATCGTTTTAAGTAATACAATATTAATCGAACTTCTTTTTCTCCTTTAGAGTTTACTAAATAAATATGCTGTCTTTCCTGCCAATGAAGGGATTTGCTAAACAATATTCAAGAGCACAAGGGCCAGAGCAATAGCACAGCGGGTAGGGTGCTTGCCTTGTATGCAGCCGACCTGGGTTCAATTCCCCCGCTCCTACTCGGAGAGCCCGGGAAGCTACTGAGAGTATTCCACCTGCACGGCAATGCCTGGCAAGCTACCCATGACGTATTTGATATGCCAAAAACAGTTACAAGAAGTCTCACAATGGAGACGCTACTGGTGCCTGCTCGAGAAAATCACTGAACAACGGGAGGACAGTCCTACATTCAAGAGTTACACAAGAGGTTGGGCAACTTTCTCTTATAGAAAGATGAGCTTTGATTGCATAAATTTCAAAAGCATGCATCTATAAAATATAAGATCAAGGGTCACCGATAAGTTCAAAGGAAAAGCACATCCCTTGTAGGTGTGAGGCTCTTGGTTCAATTCCCAGCACCAAAGGGCTCCCTTTGGATCACTGCTGGGAGTGATCCAAACAATCACAAACAAAAAAATCAAAGCAACAAACAAAAAAATTACAGGAGCAAGAAGTTCACACACCAAAAATGGAACAGAAAAAAATGCTACCAGGTGAAGGTGTAAGGATCCAGAGAGAAGGTACTTCTTGCCACTAAAATAAAGTATAGGGTATGGACCAGGGGGTAGATACTTGCCTTGCATCCAGCCAACAACCCTGGTTTGATGCTAGCACCATATAAGGTCCCCCAAAACTGCCAGGAGTGATCCTTAAGCACAGAGCCGGGAATAAACACCAGAGCACAGGCAGTTAGGGCCCCCAAATTGATAAACATAAAAACAAGGTGTAGGGTGAATTTTTCTCCCTTTGTCCCAGATTTAGTTTTATCTGACATGATTGATGCACAGGGCACGTGCTCTCGACACAGATTTTAAAATAAGAATTTAAAACATCCGATACACCTTGCTAGGGCAGGAGCCAACGCACACCCCACACACTATTTAGAGAGGGGTAACTAACCTTATATTGGTTATATTTTCAGCAGTTGTTGGTTTACATTGGTTATAACCTTGGTTATATTTTCAGCAGTTATTTACTTAACCGCTCGGACAGAGTCAAAAGACGAATCAAGAATAACCAGTGAGGGGCTGGAGCAACAGCACAGCGGGTAGGGCGTTTGCCTTGCACGCGGCCAACCTGGGTTCGATTCCCAGCATCCCGTATGGTCCCCTGAGCACTGCCAGGAGTAATTCCTGAGTGCTTAAGTCAGGAGTAACTCCTGTGCATTGTCGGGTGTGACCCCAAAAAAGAAAAAAACAAAAGAATAACCAGTGATAAATGATGGTCCTGACAAGTTCTGAAGATACTTCAGGCTGCAGAACTGATTCCAGTGTTGCTTATGCCTTTTGGTCCTAATTAATACAATAATTTGTGCTCTTTAATGTTTTGCTCTGGCAGAACTAACCTTTCTACCACTTTCATAGCAATGCCAAGAATTCTCCTGACTGAGCTGCAGTAAGGAGCTCGCCCTCCCATTTCTTCTTTCAGGACCCTTCTATTGGGGATGGTGGAGCACTCTCCGAAGGTGCTGGAGGCCCTTAGGGTGACCCTGGGGCTCTTCAGCCCAACTGTGGGAGCTTAGAGGCGGGGTGCTTTAGTTCAGTGAGGTGCTGCCACCTTAGGCCCATCAGAACCAGGAGTCCCGGACCAGTTATTAATCCACACCACTGCTCCCGGTGGATTAGCCACAGAAAATCTGAAATAGGTGGTGAGCATTGACACCTGAACTTGGTAAATGAAGCAACTTATTACATCCCAGATGGTACTTCAGCGAAACCAACAAAATCTCTATTCTCTATTTCTCTTTCTCACCTCCCCACCAGATGAAGGGGAAAGAGCGAAGCTAAATAAGCTGAAAACTTAGAAACAAGGCAGAGGGGCCGGAGCAGCAGTACGTAAGTAGGGCTGAGCTCGGTTCAATCCCCCAAGCCCAGCAGGAGTGACCCCTGAGCACAGAGCCAGGAGTAAGTCCTGAGCCCTCCTGGTGTGGCATTAAAACAAAACAAAAAAATAGAAACAAGGCAGAAATCTGAAAATGGAAGCCTTTAGTTTTTCTAATTCCATATAAGAATTAGGTCCACAAATGAAGCCTGCATTTTAAAGTTAGAAACCTGGTCTGTGGGCCCACTGCCTTTCAAAGCTAACTCCAATTCGCCAAAACCTAGAGGCGTCGGCTACCCAACTCACAGAAAATACACAAAGCACACACGCATGCCTTGCCACTCACGTTATTAAACGCGACTTGGCCTTCTTGGGTGACTCTAAGATTTCATTAACATGATTAGCGGCAGGAGAGCAAAAGTCACTGCTGGGAAAAGCTGTGGCTGGTTTAAAGGGATCCATGGACTCAAAGTTGTCTGGGTCAAAGTGGTAGGACCCTTTGGAGGAGAGGGGCGGGGAGTTCTGCAGCGTAGACTGTCCTGCCGAGGTCCCGCCGGGGGCATGCTCCCACTGGCTGGGGTCCGGCTTGGAAGGTGCTGGGGAGAGAGGGGAGTCTTCTAAGGCCAGGGCCGGAGGCTGCTCTGTACCTCTGGTGCCATCTTTCTGGATCTTGGGGGTCTGCTTGCCACCCAGCTTCCTGCCAAGTTTCCTCGGAAGGGCATTTCTGGATTCGACAGTTTCCCCGTCTTCTGTGAGATCAAACTCAAGTTTGAGAGGCGAACTCCTTGATTCCTCCCCACTTGATTCCAGCCCCACTCCTGAATCACTGGTGTTGCTACTGGGAGCCTTAAATGTTTCCTCCAAGTCGGCAGGCGATTTCTGGAGCCTGGAACCTTCCAGCAAAGGCTTTACGCTCCCATCTACTTCTGCACTGAACTGACAGGAGGCCAGAGGAACATCCGATGCTGATAACTCACAAGCAAAGGCTTTCTTCCTCAGAGAGACAGGTTTGGGTTTTCTGAGCTTACTCCTGCAGGTCACAGGTTCCGGGCTGATGTCAGCCTTCAGATCAGCTTCCGCAGATGCTTCCAGCATGACCCCCATGCTGCCTTCTGTCATTGCCTTGTCTTGGATAGTTTCCTGCGGGCCGGAGGGCAACACTTCACCTGAGTCTGAACTTTCACAGCCATAAGCTGTATTTGCTCCAAGGGTTGGTGGGGCAGTCGCAGAATTCTTGGTTTCTATTGAAAACGGCCTCACTATGGAAATCTTGCTGACTTCAGGTTCAGGTTCTTCTTTAAAACCCTTGACTGAGCAAGACCTGACAGCCTGCTGTGATACCTCATTTTCTAAGAGCCCAGAACAATCCCCTGATGAACATTTTTCAACCACTTGTGCTACAAGTTGTTCATCGGCTTCTTGTGATTCTACAACAAAACACAAAAGCCATGTATTAAATAATGAAACAATAATCTTTCTTGGCACTGGAAAATACTCTTTACTAATTAAACTCACATAGACAAACAGCACACTCATGTTCCTTTGCTTTTATTAAGCATACCTGAAGTTCAGTAAGAATGGCAGTGTGTATTGAAAGGAAATGGGCCAGAAATAAATCCAAAAGAAAGCTTTCCATCCCAGATATATAAATAATAATAATTATACCAAGTAGAATTATTTAGGGAAAGAATAAATAGATATGGGTTTCCTACAAAGTGTTAATATGATGGCAGATTTCTGCAGGTTAAAATAACTGGGCTGAAGAAATCTTAGACTCTGTTAGGTACAAATTTTATACAGAAAGCAGATTTTAATCTTTGGATATTAAAAACAAAAATTCTCCATTTCAACATCCAATTTAACTTTTGTTTTAAAATATATAAGCAGGGCTGAAAAGAGAGTACAGGAATTAAGGCAAGTGTCTTGCATGTAGCTGACCCTGACTTGTATCTTGGTACCACATATGACCCCCCCAACCATCTCTAGGATGACCTGGAGACCCCGGAACACTGCTGAGATGGCCCAGGTAAACCTCGGCATCAACACCTGAGCGGTTCTGCATTTTCAGGCCTTTGCATTAAACCACCAGCCCAATTGGGCAAGAATTGCCAAGAAGTCAAAGGGACTTTTGGGCTTTGAGCACTGTTGAAGTAAAACACCCAATGATAAACATACAATAAAATATATAAACATTACTGATACTTTTTTTAAAAAGTTCTCAATACAAGGCTTCTGTGATTTGTTACATTTCAAAAGGTTTTTTTTTAAGGGGCTGGCATGATAGCACAGCAGGTAGGGCGTTTGCCTTGCACGCGGCCAACCTGGGTTCGATTCCCAGAATCCCTGAGCACCGCCAGGAGTAATTCCTGAGTGCATCAGCCAGGAGTAACCCCTGTGCATCGCCGGGTGTGACCCAAAAAGGAAAAAAAACAAAAAGGTTTTTTAAAAATACAATGTAAGCCTCTCAAAGAACTGAAGTGAACATTTCATATGCCAGAGGCCTGGGTTTGATACCTGGCATCCCAAGAAGTAATAACCATATACATCTCCCTTCACTAGCAGCTGGAAGTAGCCCCGACTACTTCAGGGGGTGTTACTCTCCCCCACCAAACATGCACATGAGAGGGGCCCAGATATGGCTCAGTGCCTAACAAGGTTGCCTTGCAAGTATGAGGCCACACATTGGTCCCTGCTGCCACTGCAGGCCCGAGTGTCATCCTGGCAGCTGCGCTGTATATCACCCCTGGCCCTGTTGGTGATGTATATCCACACTGCTGTCAGGCAGGCCTGGGCACCACGACTAATGGTACAGCCCCTGGCAGGCACCTCAACTGAACCAGCATACAAGCCTCACATCAGGAAGTGTGACTTGGCGGCTCATGCGTGACAATAGCTAAGGTAGATGACCTGAAAGCCCAGAGTGACTAGGTCTGTGTCATACCCGTCGAAACACTAGAATATTATCAACAGAGGAAAGGGAAGGGGGAAAGGGAGTGATTATAACCAAACGAAACAGCATGGTTTCTGTTAATTTAGGAGAAAAATTATAAATGAGGCAAAGCCTTAAACTGGGAATTTTTCACTGTGCTTTTTTTTCTATCAAATACTCTGAAAACTTCTCAAAATTAAAAACTTGGGCTGGAGATATAGCTCAAAAGACTGAGTATATGCTTTGTAACAAGAAGGCCCAGGTTCAAGCCAGCACCATGTGGTCCTCAAACAGTGCCCAGGGTGACCCCAGGCACAGAGCCTGCACTGCTGAGTATGGCCCCAAACTAAACACACACACACACACACACACACACACACACACACTAACACAGAACTGCTGGAGAGAGTACAGTAGGTAGGATAGTTGCCAGGAATAGCCCAAAATCCAAAGGCAGGAGGTGGAAATACAAGTGCGTTTCACACCAAAATTTAACAAGGACATTTTACAGTATTGTGACAATCCCACAAAGATGTAGATTCTCTGCCCTCTCTCCATAACTCTCAGTAATTGTTGTGAACGTGCTATTGGTGGTTTCTTTGTGTTGATGCAAAGAAGGTACATAACCAAAGAAACTACAGATGAATCCTATGTATTTCTACATATCTACAGGTACAAGCTCAATTAGAAACCAGCTCAGGTCTTAGTTGTGCCTGCTTCTACCCACGCACTGGTTAGTTACATCAAAGTTTAAATGGGTATCACTCAAGTTTTGGTGCTTGTCAGTTTTTGGACTTAACAAGTGTGAAAAATAAAACTGAATATTGGGGTGCTGGAACGATAGTACAGTGGGCAGGGTGCTTGGTTTGCATGCAGCTGACCAAAGTTCAATCTCCAGCTCCACCTATGGTCCCCTGCCCCAAGTGATCCCTGAGCTCAAAGTCCCAAATCCCTATCCCCTGGCAAAACAAAAACAAAGAAGGGGAAAAAAAAATTTACTCTTTATCCTGATAGTGACATGATAAACACAAACAGTGCCTTAAGCAGGGAGAGAGGATCACATTTATATCTTGAACAATTTCCTCCAGTTGCAGAGTAGAAAAGGAGGTAAAGGGGATCAAAAAGGAATAAATTAAAAGGTTAGTCTGTTACTCTGGGGGCTCTGGATAATGAATGGTAAGAGAAGCATACACTATTTGAGAGGGAAAAAATGAGGCTAAATTCATAAAGCTTAGTAATAGGCTGGTACAGGAATAAAGACACAAGTATCAACATTGTTAGCACTCACTGAGATTCAAGAAATACTAGGAAAGAGATTTTGGGCATCAAGAGCTGGGCAGGTTGGACTGGACATGCTGAGCTCTGGGGAGGTCTTGGGGGTAAAGAGGGGAAGCAGACGGAGAAGCTCAGGGAAGAGATCTTATCATCCCACAACTGAAGCCATGGGTATTGAAGGAATTATCTTAAAAGTTGCCTTGAGGGGCTGGAGCGGTAGCATAGTGGGTGGGGCGTTTGCCTTCACAAGGCCCACCCAGGTTCAATTCCCAGCATCCCATATGGTGCCCTGAGCACCACCAGGAGTAATTCTTAAGTGAAGAGCCAGGAGTAACCCCTGTGCATTGCCGGGTGTGACCCAAAAAGAAAAAAAAAAGTTGCCTTGAATGTTACATAATTATGCTATCCCATTCCATTTTTTATTTCTGAAATTTAATATTTTAAATGTGAATCTTTCCATAAATGTTCTTTTAAAAAATAAATTTATCAGTGTCAAGAATATAGCACAGTAGCAGACTACTTGTCTTGCATGTGGGAAGCCCTTCGTTCAGTACCTGATACTGCAAAGAAGAAAAAAGAAAAAAGAAAAAGCAACAAACTAGGAGGACAAGTAGAGCGGGCAGCGCTAACTCATAGTGGGACTCAGGGGGCTACGCAGGGTGCCAGAGATGAACCTGGGTCAGCTCATGTGCAAGGCAAATGCCCTACCAACTGCACTATCACTCTAGCCCCAGGACCAATCCAATTTTAAATAAAATTAATTTGATCTGTCTTTTGCAAATTAGGGTAAATGTTATTAATAATGATTTTATAATCTGTGTAAGAGATGTTTATAAAACATTTTTGTCATGATACTTGAAATTTGCTTTTAGAACTACCTAAGCAACCAGGGGTCAGACAATGGGCTGAGAGCTGCCATGCATGGAGAAAATCTAGGTCCCCTGAGACAGGGTCCACTACCCCCCTAAGGACTGCTTGCAGCTATCTCTGGGCACAAAGTGAGGAGTAGACCATGAATACCTCCAGGTGTGGCCCCCAAACCAAAACCAAAACACTCAAAAGTAAAACAAAAGAAAAAGTAGAAAAGAGGACGGCAAATGCAAATCTGGGGAAATCCTGATGACTGTTTAATAAGGGAAATAGTTACATGGGAACTTTAAGCCTGCGCGTGTTACAGGGAGCTAATTATAATTTAAGACAAAATTTCTTTTTAGCTGTATGATCTTTCAGCCTTCTCCTCTCCTTTGCTTACCTCTCAGAGGAGTCTTGGGTTCTAGGCCCCAGTCCTCTGAGTTCCTTCCCCACAAGCCTGAGATGACTTATGGGCCAGGCTGGAGACAAGGACAGCAGAGCATTACCCTGGTCAGTCTGAGAAAAGGAGCAGTCTTTCCTCTCCTCCTAAGCTCCAAACTAACTACAGAGCTCAAAAGGGTATGATTTTTATTTTGTGTTTACATTTCAATCAGCAGAGACCTGGAACCAGCTGACCTCATATATTACCGCCACACAGGACCTGGACTCAACCATCACACCATGAACATTCTTCAAAAGAAGAAAAGTACTCTGATTCTCTCAGCCTCCACCCACCCCGTCTCCAGTTCTAGCCACAGCTGTCATATTTGCTTTTCATCTGCAAAGTTACATAACTCACCTACTTCTAATCATTCTTCTATTTCCACAAAAATACTGAAGTCCCTAAAAATCTTTCAAAGTGCTAAAAAGCTTTCTTCTTAAAAATAATCACTCCCATTGTGGTAAAATCTCAAATTAATAATGGTGGGTCTGGTGTCAAAATATATAATGTGATCAAAGTAGAGAAAGCGTAAGGTGGAAATCATCTGCCCCACAGGGTGTGGGATGGGGGTATACTGGAGTTGTTGGGGGTGGAGAATGGACACTGGTGAAGGTACGGGTGTTTCATTGTATGACCGAGACTTAGACCCAAAAGCTTTGTAACTGCTCTCATGGTGATTCCATAAAGAAAATTATAAAAAATGAAAAAAAAAGTAAGGAGTTCATGCCCAATTCAATCGGCTAATCAGTGGTTGAATAAATAGCAGTACCCCTATATATAAAAATAATAATAATAATAATAATCACTCCTTCACTCTGACAAGCAGTGTTGCCTGCTATCTTGGTGGACAGATATTAGATTAGTAAATAAATTGGGCTGGAGTGATAAAACAGCAGGTAAGGCAGACCCAGGTGGAGAGAATATATATA